CACCACATTACTGCCTAATGCATTCCATTTATTAACTACTCTGACACTGAAAAGTTCTTTCTATAATCTCCCTGGCTCATTTGGGTACTCAGCTTCCACCTGTGTCCCCTTGTGCGTGTACCACATGTGTTAAATAAATGTATGTATGTATGTATGTATGTATGTATGTATGTATGTATGTATGTATGTATGTAAGGAGAGAAAGAGATGAAGACCGAGACAGAGAAATAGATATATACAGAGTCAGGGAGAGAATGTTAGACACAGAGACGGATAGATAAGGATATGCAAAATCAGTGAGAGAATGACAGAGATAGAGCGAGGAAAGAGACAGAGAGATAGGCTGACACAGAGAATGGCAGAAACGAGGAGAGGCAGAGACAGAGGGACAGGGACAGACGGACAGGGCCAGAGGAGAGACGGGGGAACAGAGGGGGGCAGTGGGACAGAGAGGGAGACAGGGACAGAGAAGGGGACAGGGACAGAGACAGAGGGACAGGGTCAGAGAGGGGAACCGGGGGACAGAAAGAGGAGAGGGGGGCAGGAGACCAAGAGAGAGGGGACAGAGGAGAGACAGGAGATAGAAAGAGTGGGCAGGGGGACAGAGGGAGGGACAGGGACAGACAGAGAAAGACAGGAACAGGGGGCAGAAAGGGGGACAGATAGAGGGACAGGGGGCAGAGACAGGGACAAGGGGACAGAGATGGATAGGGGGACTGGAGGAAAGGGAGGGGGACAGATGAAGGACAGCGGACAGAAAGAGTGGGCAGGGGGACAGAGAGGTACAGGGGACAGAGAGAAGGACAGGGGGACAGAGATGGACAGCGGGACATAGAGGAACAGGGGGACAGAGAGTGACAGGGGGACAGAGAGAGGGACAATGGGATAGAGAGGGACAGGGGGACAGAGAGATGGAAAGGGGGGACAAGGGGACAGGGGGAAAGGGATCGGGGACAGAGGACAGAAAATGTGGGCAAGGGGACAAAGTGAGGGACAGGGGGACAAAGTGAGGGACAGGGGGACAAAGATGGACAGGGGGACAGGAGGAAAGGGGGGGAGATGTATGAGGGGGAATGTTTGCGAGAGATGGAGAAGGGGTATTTAGAACGGTAAGTTAGAGAGGGGACAACTAAGGCGCATCATTGAAAAGCAAAGCAAATGAGCATCATTGCAGTAGCAGGAGCCACGCACATCTTCAGCCTGCGTTGTTGAGACATTGTCAATTAAGCGGTGTCCAATAGCAGTATCTTCGGTATTTAAGCGATACCTTAAAAAATACTGGAATTATTGAAAGATATTAATCCAGATATTACTCCCCTTGTGCAACGCACACAAGAGGCAACAGCTTCTAGCTCTACAAGCGGCAATATAAAATAGAGAATAGGCGATTGTTTTCACTCATATAGTGTAATAAACCCACGGACCCACCCACCCGCTGAAGCCGGAAATACCAAGACATTACTTCCGTTTAAAATTCAGCCGGAATAATCCTCAGGTATGTGGAGGATGTGGGAGTCCTTTGATCAACCGCCGACTTCCTGCCCCGTCGACGGGGCCATCAGCCCTCAGTGTGCCCTCAGCCAAATTCATGTGAAACATGTATGTGTGTGTATTAAATATTTAAATTTATTATTCCCAAGATTTAGCTGTTAGCTCTTGGACCCCGCCTTTCTAAGCGTCGGTTGTCTAATGTACCGACTCTCAGCCTCTTTTCCTCCATCATATCTAAACAACATATATTTTTCTCTAACACACACACACATCCCCAAGATGCAGCCTTTAGCAGCTTCCTGACTTTGAGGTTCCTATTTACTGCAAGGTGAATAGAGGCATTAGTGTGTGTATGTTTGTGTATGTGTGTGTGTGTGTACGTGTGTACGTGTGTGTGTGCGTGTGTGTGTTTGTGTGTATACTCACCTAGTTGTGGTTGCGGGGGTTGAGCTCTGGCTCTTTGGTCCCGCCTCTTAACTGGCAATCAACTGATGTACAGATTCCTGAACCTACTGGGCTCTATCATATCTGCATTTGAAACTGTGTATGGAGTCAGCCTCCACCACATCACTGCCTAATGCATTCCATCTATTAACTACTCTGACACTGAAAAAGTTCTTTCTAACATACCAGTGGCTCATTTGGGTACTAAGTTTCCACCTGTGTCCCCTTGTTCGCCTACCACCCGTGTTAAACAGTTTATCTTTATGTACCCTATCAATTGCTCTGAGAATTTTGTAGGTAGTGATCATGTCTCCCCTTACTCTTCTGTCTTCCAGTGTCATGAGGTGCATTTCTCGCAGCCTGTCCTCGTAACACATGCCTCTTAGTCCTGGGACTAGCCTATTGGCATACCATTAAACTTTTTCAAGCTTCGTCCTGTGCTTGACAAGGTGTGTGTGTGTGTGTATACGTGTATAACACACACGTACTTATGTGGTACGTATATACTACATAATTGTAAGGCGTTTGCTGAATTAGAAAAGTCGGCTAGCAGTCCACCCTTAACGACACAATTAACTCATTACATAAAAAAATACGTGGCTGTGCAATAGTGTGTGGGAATTGGGGAACTGGTGTGCATTTAGACGACTGGTGAGGACCAACAATGACGTAGAAGGATGGCACCAGCGTCTGAATCAAAGGGCAGTGAGGGACAACTTGGCTTTATATATTTTAATCCCCTTACTGTACCGTGAGGCGTCCCTGGTAACCTTGCAATACCAACTGGTTTCTGATCAAAAGCTAAAGTCCAGTCGCCGCAAGGGCAATAAAGAGAAACAGGAACATTTGTGGAAGCTTTGGGACCGTTACGAGGAAAAACAGATAAGCACCTCACAGTTCCTCAAGGAATGTTCGCGTTTTATCCCAGGAAGTGCCTGAACTAGAATTAGAAAACAGCAGTCTGTTTACTGGTTGTTATTTAACTTAAGTTAGTTGTAAATGATATTGTAAAAAATAGCCACTGAGAACTGATGAGTTGCCCAAGACTTTTGCTCGTAAAGAGGGAATTGATTACAAACTTGGACTGCCTTTGAGCAGCCTGAGGGCAGCAATATCCCAGGAACATCAACTAAATTTTGGAGACTTGAAGTAAAGTGAAATTCACACCAGTTACTCCATCTATCATCATTCTATCATGCAGGAAGAACCGCACGTCTATGGGTCATCCAATAATGTTAGCAGACTTCTAGATGTTACCACTGCTAGGCTTAGGCTCGGCTACAAGTACCTCTGGGAGTTTGCAACATCTGCTGATGTAGATTTGACTAAATGTAAACTCTATCAGCAGAACTATTCGCTTACTTTGCGTCATTATATAATGGAATGTGAAAAAATCGCGGAATTTAGAGATAACACCATCAATAGTGTCCAAGAAATGTGTAAGTACTTCATTCATAATGATGTGCTGCTCGAAATCTTAGCGAAGTATCCAAAATTTGCTTACTGTAGGTAATGCATGCACATGACTATAAAGCTGCTGCCCAGTTGGGTGGGTGTGGAGCACATGACTGTAAAGCTGCCGCCCAGTTGGGTGGGTGTGCAGTGTGCAGCAAGACTAGTAACTGTGTGACTCACCATAGATGTAAAGTGCCTTGTATAGTGACTGTTGTGAGCCTCTTGTTGATCACTTGTGACACAAAGATTATTGATGTGTGTATTTGTGTAGGTGATTAGATATGTATGTGTATGTATATATGTATACGTATATATATATGTACATGTATGTATGAGAGTGTGTACATGTATATATAATATTAATAATTTTGTAACTAGTGTCACAAATTGTTATTTGCTTAGCTAAACGAACTAGAGGGTTCAGTTCCTGACCCGATTATGTGCCTCTGTAATCCTTTACACCACCGCCCACGGGATGGGTATGGGGTGCATAATAAAGAAAGAAATAGAGTTGAATTGGCCTGATTAAGACTTTATGACCATGTAATCTATGTTTTGCTCCACTACTTACTGGTTGAGTATGGGGTGCATAACAAATAATAGCCTCCTTCGGGGGCGCCTTGTTTCTAAACGTGTTAGTCTTAAATCCTTTAATCTCAAATCTTGCTACAATGTACCTCTTAATATATGTATGTACTCTCGCAACCCAATGTACCTTCTTGTATATAAATAAATTGATTTCAACTGTAAGGGGGGTATAGTTTGCACCTTGTTATTCTAATAATGGATAAATAATTCTAATAATGGAAGCGCTAATTATATGAACAAGTGCCATGTATTTATTTTTATGTAATATCAAACAACTTTATCATTGTGTTCATTGCTGTCTTCTTCTATGTGCTAGCCATATGCTGTATTGTGACTACCAATTTTTGTCAACTACCATTCAAGCTGTCATTGCAACCAATCTTATATTGTTTCTGCTGTATTGTGCCTACCAATTTTTTGTCAACTACCATTCAAGCTGTCATTGCAATCAATCTCAGCTACCTATGTGCTTTAATATACTGTACCTACAATTTTCTCTCATCTTTTTTTCATTTCATGTAATCTGTTATCATTTTTTTGTCTATAATTTTTGCAAGTATTTACCTCCTTAAAATTTTCTTAGATTAAGGACCTGCCCGAAACGCTGCGCGTGCTAGTGGCTTTACAAGACTGTAATTACCATATTTGTATCCTCACATTCCTTATGTACATTCTTGTATATGCATAAATAAATAAATAAATAAATATTCAGACGAGAACAACAGCGAACACAAACCAGCGCATATACGAACGGAATGGTTTGTATGTACAAACTTCTCAGTGAACGAAGTTGTTTCTAGCCCGGTATCCGAAATTGCAGTATACGACTTGACCAGTCCCCGTCGCCCTTTACATCAACAACACAAATAAAAAAGTATAGCCTTTAACGCAGACTTTTTCTCATATTATCGATGAAAAAAAATGAGTTCCTTTTATGTTTGTTATTAATTATAATGTGGACGAAGCTGGCAAATATTAAAGTGTACATTGTCGGCAAGTTACCATAGGGGTTGTTATATGTTATATAGGCAGGTAGTGTTGTAAGGTGCCGGCGAGGCCGAGGCGTCGTCTGCTCGCTGACATCAACATGACGGCAACCTCCATCCTCATCCTGGCCTTTATATCAAGTTTTCCCCAGGTGTCCCTAGCGAACGAGGTCTTAGGGTGTGGAGGCTATGTCAGGAGTGATGTGGAGATCAATTATTCTCAGGTTGGGATCAAACTGTAAGTACGGACAGTAATTGTCTGGATGTTTGTCGGGTTGTCGCCTGGGCAGTGCCGTGTTTTATTTTGTTTCTTGTCAATATTTATCCACCGTTTATGTAGTCGAGACAAAATGGGTTGTCTTTCCTTGTATTCAAATAACACAGCATCCCCCCTGGGTTTGTACACTAGCCCAAGGCTGTGGATAGGGGTCAGTGTGGGTAATGTTGACCTGCCAGGGTCGGTGGGCTGGCTGGCTCATCATTACTTAAGCTTTTCTATTTCCAGTTATAAGTCAGCCCGTCCTCTTGAGTTGCCACAACAGGCAGAAAACGGTGTACTAAATCACGTGAACCTAACCTATTGACCCACATACAGAAAACATAAAAATAAATAATGATAAATAATTTAAGCAAAAGTACATATATACATAGAGTACAGGAAGAGGGAGATTTCTAGATAAGACAAGTACAGTGCCTAAAGCCACTAATATGCAGAGCATTTTGGGCATAATGTTAGGACAAAGATTGGTGAACAATATAGAAGCTTAATTTGGTAATTCTTAAAACTAAATGAAATCAGAAACATTTGTGAATTGAAGTAAACAAATAGAAATGCAGTCTATTTAGCAGTCTCCATGGTGTAGTAGTAAGACGCTCGCCTGGCATTTCACGAATGCTTTGACCTGGGTTCATATCCTGGCCGGGGAGAATCTACTGGGCGTCAATCCTTAACTGTAGCCTCTGTTTACCCAACAGTGAAATGGGTACCTGGTTGTTAAACGATTGGCGGGTCGTATTCCATGGAATTTTCGGATTAAGGACTTGCCCAAAATGCTATGAATGCTAGTGGTTGTACAAGAATGTAAGCACTCTTGTATATTAAACAGTACAGTACATATATAACAAAAAATTATATGACTATATAATGATTGCAATTGCAACAAGACAACAGTAATTTTCAAAGAATAAACAGATGGTATACAAATTGTTATTTTTTGCATGGCAGATATCATTAACAGTACAGGTTCAGTACTGTAATTAATGTTCAACAACAGCAAAACACAGGTTAACATTTAGGAAGTAAAGTTGATTACATACTTAATAAGGTAGTTTTTAGTTTTTCTTTTAAATTTATTGAGTGAAGGAAAATCTTTGATTATAATTAGGGAGGTCATTCCTTGTTTTGGGACCCTTGATTAGCAGAGCATTTCTGCTTTGGTTAAGTCGCACACTTGGAATTATCAATAAGATACAGTATTTGTTTCTAGTGTGGTGTCCATGGGTTTTGTTACAGCCCTCTAGGAACCACTTAAGGTTGGGGGTTTGCATTGCCGTTCAAAGTTTTATACTGTATATATATATTCGGTATAGCGTATACTTGAGAGGATGTGTAGTGAAAATATTTAACATATTCAAAGATTTAGATAAGGGAGCCAAGTGCTGTCTGGGGCTTGAGTTTATTATTATCCTAATTGGTAATTTCATCTGTGAGCATGGAAGATAGCATTTCCTTACTGATTGTTGATGATAGCATCAATCAAAATTCCTGGTCATAGACCACATATTTTTCCTAAAGGTTTCTTAATATATTTCAAAGTTTGGTGTTACATTGTCTCCATGACCTCATTTTCTTATAGTATCAAAGAAATGATTGTTAGTGTGTGGTTCTTGCACCCCTGTATGAATGCATTAAAATTAATTTTGACTTTTGTGCATATGGCTCTTTTTAGCACAGACAAATAGAAATTACATTTTAGAATTGTATAATTTATGGACTATAATACACATTATTTGATTATGAATTAGGTGTGCAACATATTTAGATGCATGTAAGAAAATATGTTTAGATTAGCATTTCAATTTCTCTTTTGTATATCATAGGCAAGACAATATAGTCCAGGATCATCCCGGACGTAGGTTCGAACCATTACACAGCCCTTGTGGATTTGTTCAAGACAATATAGTAATATACTGTATTTCATTTCATTTGTTTCAGATATACAAAACAGGGCAACTTGAAGTATGAAACAGAATGTGCACCAAACAATGGCTATTACTTCATGCCATTATATGATAAGGGCCAGTATATAATAAAGGTAATACAGTAGTTTATTACATTTGTTAGGATTGATTGTACTTGTTACTGTAACTATATTGTAGTGTTAATTGTTATCAGAGTATTTATAAATTCTGAAAGATTTTTTTTTTTTAGGAACCTGTCAATATGTATATAATATTGTCATACATAGCAGTTGCAGTGCAAGATTTTTGTTGCTAGCACTCATTGTAACTATAGGGTGTGGAGATAAATTGTAGAAGCTAGTGTCAAACATTCATTTAGGTCTAATTAAGATGTTTTGTATCTTATTGACACTATCACTCACAGGCATTATAGAGTGTGTCAGATAAATAAAAGAATACTGTATCTCATCATGTAGACTCTAGTTTTTCCAGGTATCATAATGTAATGCTAAATATTGTATCGGATTTGGTTCATAAAAGTATTACCTGTATAAGTAAATATCGGAAAATAAAATTTACTCTCTGATATTGCATTTCCGAACAGGTGTCTCCTCCATCTGGCTGGAGTTTTGAACCAGAAGAAGTGTCGCTGAATGTTAATGGGGAGACTGATGCATGCAGCCAGGGACAAGACATAAACTTTCACTTCAAAGGTTTTGCAGTGATTGGCAAGGTTAGAATTACAGTATATTGTAACTTTTGAGAAGCGTTGACCAAACCACACACTAGAAAGTGAAGGGACGACGACGTTTCGGTCCGTTCTGGACCATTCTCAAGTCGATTGTATGTGACTTGAGAATGTCACACACAATCGACTTGAGAATGGTCCAGGACGAAACAAAACGTTGTCCCTTCACTTTCTAGTGTGTGGTTTGGTCAACATATTTCAGCCACGTTATTGTGACTCCCCGTCTGCTTTTGAGAAGCCTGAATTGATGGAACTATTTGACTCTTAATAGCATTGGCTTGTAACATGCCCAAATTAAGTGATGCATTACGTGATGAACATGCTACCGTATATTAGAACTTGTTATTCTTATATGGCTCCTCGTATATGGTTTATTTGGTATGTACAGTATGATGATGTGTAGATAGGGCTGCTTATTATCTTCCATCATGAGATCAAATGAATGTGCCTTTATATTTTCAATGAAAGCTAATAAATTTTGTATGCACTCACAGGTAGTGAGTATAGGAAATATTGCTGGTCCCAAAGGAGTAACAGTGTCCCTGTACAGAGGAGAAGAGGTTATTCAAACAACCCAGACCACCACTGATGGTACATATGTGTTTACACCATTATCATCAGGAAAGTACATGGTGGTGGCCTCGCATCCTTCATGGAGCTTCATCAATGACAAGGTAATGTATCAGTCTAGATTATGAGTTCCCAAGTAATTACATATTTTATAAGAAATTTTTCACCATGAATAAGTAAATTTACAAACTTGGTGCTTTTGTGTTATACTGTACTGTGTTTACTTTAAGAATATTGTAGCCATTTAAATTTTACTTTGAAAATTCTAATTTTCTTAATTACTGTTCACAAAATAGAAGAAAAAAGTATTATATTTTAGGTGACAGTGGTAGTAGCAGATGAAAATGGAGATGCCGGTTCTTCCATTGTTGTCGGTGGATACATTATATCGGGTAGTGTTACAACTGAAGGCCAGCCAACACCAGGTGTCTCGTTCATTCTGCATGCTGATGATGCCACTACAGCTGAACCAGGTAATTTAAGTGCAGCATTTACATTTCCTTGCTCTAGATTGGAGGTTTCTTTACCAATATTTTTAAAAAGTGTGGATATAGTTAAAAAAAAAAAAGACATTAAGGACAGTTAAATATTGTTTTTCCTAATTGCTGTAGTTCTTTGTATTATTTCAGTATTGTAGGTATATATTATACATGTTTTAATAATTTTTATTTTTATTTTTGTAGCAAAGGGTTTTCTGTAATTAAGTAGTCCGAGTAGGGATACTTTATGGTACTTTATGCTCTTTACTCAGTCCTGCTGTCTGCTGGACAGGAACATGCATAGACAGACATAAATGTTGCATCAGTTCCCCAGGAGTTTTCAAACTGTCTATACAGTTTCATACAAGGTGTTAGGGAGCATTACTTCCAGCACAGAATTACCAATAGTGGCTCATAGGATGCAAATAAAAACCCTGCAGGAACCCTTCTCCCATCCCTCCCATCCCTCCCACCTCTCCTCCCACTCTGACATCACAGCTCTTGACATCAGAGTACACTCTTCAACCAACGGTGTGCTCTGGTTAACTACCTAATGACCTGCTTAGAGGTCTTACCGCCACCGCCGGGTTATAGGACCACACTTCCCTGGAAACACAAACCGAAACTGTCTCTATTTTCCGCTTGTTACAACTTGTAATAAAGTTGTTACATCTTGGCTTAACGTGTTTATGACGTATTAGAACGTTGTTACAACTTGCTATATTGGTTGTTATAACTGGTTAGGAGGTGTTAAAACTTGTTCGAACATTGTAGCAACGTCGTAGTTTCGGTGTGTGTTTGGCGGGTTGCCTACAGGTCCCTCCAGTCACAGCCCTTTACTTCCTGATTGTTGCATTCTTTGCAGTCAGCAGGTTGGTACCTGATTTTCATGTATCTTTCCCTTCTTGGGAACTTTTCCAATGCTCAAGGCTTGGTTTATATGCAACAATGTACATGGAGTATGTTCATTGGTTGTTGACTGTTCTGTGGAAGTGTTGAACAGCAATGGCTTATCATCTGGTATAACAACACACATACACATTCTTTCTCACTGGGTAGGGTCTTTAGGTGTTTGCTTTTCTACGCATGGCTTGAACTTTCCTTGACAAATTAGTCAGACATTACCAGTATGTTGCTCATATGTCAAGCATTTCCATTCTTCATCTCTCGAAGTTAGTTGCTTTATATCCTTATTTATATTCTTCATTGAATTTGAGGAAATCAAAGTTTCCTTTCTTATATTGCAATACATAAGATCACATACACCTTTTCACCATGAAAATTTTACGATGTATTTCCTTCATAGGAGGAGGAAAGTTCCAAGAAAAACCAATCAAAGCTGTGAGATTTATCTCCTGCAGGAAAACAAGGCACTCCCAGAATGTTTGCATCTTGATGTAGATACAGTATTTGAGTACAGTATTTCCAATTATTAAAAAATCAAGGCAAGGTTAATTTTGCCTAAATATTACATTTTATTTTTAATTCACTTTTTTAAGAATCACTGCCTGCACATTCTCGTGAACAAAAATTATTTTTTTACATATAGGACACACAGCATACTGAATTCAAATACTGTACAGCTTTTGAATTTAAAAAAAAATGTTGAAAAATCTAAATTTGTAATGGGGCAAAGTACAATGTTCAATACTGACAAGTGTTACTAATGGATTTTTTCTTTTTATGATAGCATGTATACCTGGAATTCCTGAAGGTTACCAGAACACAGTTGGTGTCCCAGTTGTGTGCCATGTAATGTCTGGCACTGGTGGCATGTTTTCCTTTGGCTCGGTGCCACCCGGCACTTATATTTTGATTCCTTACTTCCATTCGACTACAACAAGATATGAGGTGACACCAAGTCAACTGGAGATAACTGTTAAACATGATGACATGATTCTTCAACACCCCTTTAAGGTAATTGTGTAGAGCTATTGTATTGGTAATGAGATTCATATATTACCTTTGCTTTTATTGGTAAAATGTTTGTTAGCTTCAATTAATTAATAACTTGTTAAATATACATTAGAATTTAGATATGACAAGAATTTGAACTACAGTATATATGCTGAATTGTGTGGGGTATTTATATTGAATCCAGTTTCTATTATGTACGTTGATATTGGGAGATAATAGAGATGCACTTACCAGTTACTAGTGCCCGAAACGCTTTGCGTAATAGTGGCTTTAGGCATTGTATGTACTAGCTCTATCTATAAATCTATCAAATTTTGTAAAATCTCTTGTATGTATGTACCTTACCTGAATAAACATTTATTTTATTTATTTATTTATTTAGTGCTGTGCAATGGAGATTTTACTGGAGTAAACAGTTGACAATCATTTTGAAATGCCATTAGAGTAGTGACCTATATTGTACTTTTAGCTTAAATATGTCTTGACTACTGCACTATAATGTTGGCTGCATGTATTTTTTCAATTTTATGAATTTTCATATACATAACTCATCTTTCTTTTTATTAATGATGATTATTTACAAGTGCTGTGTCACATTAAAAGACATCACTGATGGACCTGTAAATTTGAAGCTCTGATTATTATTGCACTCTTCATAGCTGTATTATATTAGAATCAATTGTAAGATTATTATGTGGCTATTATCTAAATGTAAAAAATTAACAAAGAAAGTACAAGCCCCTTAAGTTATATGCTATAGTTCATGTCTTTTTTAATATGGTCCTTATTGTATATTTGTGACTGATGCATATTGATATGTTGAAAATATAAATACAATAACAACTTAGTCTAAATTATAACTTGGCTGCCTATTTTGAATCGGTGGGATATCAATTTTTGTTTTAACATGTTTACCATGATACCTGGTTGATACCTGGTTGATGGGGTTCTGGGAGTTCTTCTACTCCCCAAGCCCGGCCCGAGGCCAGGCTCGACTTGTGAGAGTTTGGTCCACCAGGCTGTTGCTTGGAGCGGCCCGCAGGGCCACGTACCCACCACAGCCCGGCTGATCCGGAACTTCTCTTAGAAAACCGTCCAGTTTTCTCTTGAAGATGTTCTCGGTTGTTCCGGCAATATTTCTTATGCTCGCTGGGAGGACGTTGAACAACCGCGGACCCCTGATGTTTATACAGTGCTCTCTGATTGTGCCTATGGCACCTCTGCTCTTCACTGGTTCAATCTTGCATTTTCTTCCATATCGTTCACTCCAGTACGTTGTTATTTTACTGTGTAGATTTGGGACCTGACCCTCCAGTATTTTCCATGTGTATATTATTTGGTATCTCTCTCGTCTCCTTTCTAGAGAGTACATTTGGAGAGCTTTGAGACGATCCCAATAATTTAGGTGTTTTATCTCGTCTATGCGTGCCGTATATGTTCTCTGTATTCCCTCTATTTCAGCAATCTCTCCTGCTCTGAAGGGGGAAGTGAGTACTGAGCAGTACTCGAGACGGGACAGCACAAGTGACTTGAAGAGTACAACCATTGTGATGGGATCCCTGGATTTGAAAGTTCTCGTAATCCATCCGATCATTTTTCTGGCTGACGCGATATTTGCTTGGTTATGCTCCCTAAACGTTAGATCGTCGGACATCATTATTCCCAAATCCTTGACATGCTGTTTTTCTACTATGGGAAGATTCGATTGTGTTTTGTACCCTGTATTATGTTTATGATGTTCATGATGTTCTCCACCAGTGGTTAATTAATTATAGTTTCTCATGTAGCTGTTGGTATCCATGAAGTCCAGTTGCCAAGCTGTTGTCTTTGGACCTATACCATTCAATTGCTTTCTTAGGCAGTGTCCTCTTCTCTAGTATATGACTGACTACAGCCAGCGCTGGTTAACCTTTTACCTTGGTGCAGTGATAATCTTTTCAAACGTCCTTGCCAGAAAATGTTTAGTAAGGGAGTAACCGAAGAAAACTGTGCAGCTTGTAATGGCCTCCAGAAGGTTCAGTTATCCATACTCATAAATGTCCTCTAAATGCCACTTGGCCTTGAATGACTAGCTAGTAGTGTTCTTCTAATGGCTAGTCTGCTTGGCCACTAACAACCACCACAGCATGTCAATACGTACGTGTCAACAGGTAGCTGGTGCTATCCACTTCACATTTCTCCTGGCTCTTCCCTCCGGCACAGACTGGCTGCCCAGGATCAAAATTACTCAATTAAGTGACATGTTTATCCCTTGACACTTTGGTTTCACTGTGCAGTGAGCCTTAGCTGCTTTGTGTGTGCTTCGTTGTACAGTTATTGCATGTCTTTGAATTATATTTCACTGGCTGGTTTAGTTAATGTCTGAGCAGCATTGATTCAGCTCTTGAGTTATTCCACTGCTTATGACATTTGTTTGTACAGTACTTGGTCCCAGGCCGAGGGTCTTGGTACTGGATACACATCTTGGTATGTTTGGTTACCTCATCACCTATGTGTAATTACGTGACCCGTTCTGCATGCTTATCCTTGTGTCCATGATTTGCAGGCTATTACCACCACCAAGATGTTCTACATGATATACTTTGATGATATTTGGACTTTGATTCAGGAGTTAGAACTTCGTATTAGCATTCTCATTCCTCAAGATTTCCTGCTGGCTATCAGTGTGGCACATGGAATGCTTTCTCCAGTGCTCATTGAGCATGATAAATGACTCTCTCACTTTACAGTTTGCTGATAATTTATTACTGAGGTAGTATTTTATGAAATGGCTAGCTAAGAAATAAGAATTGAGTAATTACCTAAGTGTTAAAACCTAAATGTGGTTTCAGGATGAGGGCATGGTGTCCCAACTTTCCTATAATCTTTGTCATATAATACTCTTGAAATTGCTGATGGTTTTGGCATCCATCACCTCACTTAAATTGTTCTAACACTCTACAACTCTTATTTGCAAAAAAGAGAACTTTCTGCCATCTTTTAGTAACCTTTACTTTTTAAGCTTGAGCCAGGCAGGTGCTAAACAGGTAAGTGCTAACATCTGGTGACCGTTGGGGGCAGGTGCTACTTAGTGATTTCTTAACACTGAATAGTGCTTGGAGGAGGCTTCCGAGTTGGAAGAAATGAAAATTCTAGAGGTCATTCCAGACTGGATAAAGTTTTCTTCAAGGTTTCCTTTTCAGCAACATAATCAGGCAGTAACATTTGAAAAGATTCTGGCTGTGCCAGGATAATGTATCAACATGGCCTGGCTGTCCTTGGGCAGAACAGGTTGTTGTCTAAGGTAACAGACCTGCTCAGAGAGGAACATATTCATCTTCACTCAAAGCCTGTTTTTTTTTTAGCTTCTGTGTCTTGTGTGATTGCAGGTTGAAGGGTTTAGCATGCGTGGCCGAGTAACCAAAAGTGAAAGGGGGGAGGCTGTGGCAGGAGCTACAGTTGTACTGGATAAAACACGAACAGCAACCACAGATGGTGATGGAGTCTACGCCTTTGACAATATTCAGTCGGGAAAGCACAAGATTAAAGTGACAGCAGGTTTGTTGTAGTATAAGTGACAATTCTTTTCTTGAAAGTAAATGGTGCATAGTATAATTTTTAAATTTTGTTTTCATTTGGAGAGATTTGAAGTGTGTGTTTAGGAAATTAAGGCTAATGAGTGGAAGACAGTTTATAACAAAGATTTTGTTATTTTTAGGGGGAATTGAACCTTAAAAAGACATTATTCCTTACATGTTGTGAAAGGATCAAAAGTGTGTAAAGTATAGACCGTTGTTATAAAATGCGAAAAAGAAAGCTTATTAATTTAAATTTTTTGCTAGCATGATTTGTAAAATAGTCAAGATAATCTAATTGTTTACAGTTTGTACTTAAACATGAAAAAACTTGTAGTTTTATTCGCAAAGTTGGTTTGTTATACAAAAACAATAAGAGGAATGGTAGGAGGGTCACCCACAAATGGACATTTAGTATTTGGTATTTAGGGGCAGTGGTTGCCTTTCGATCAGAGTTGGGCATTTGTGCCCAACCCTTTGTGGTGTTAGGAGTAAAAGTAGGCGGGTTTGTGTATATGTGGGGGGGGTTGTATTTATGTAAGTGTTTTGTGGGGATGTATTTATGTAAGTGTTATGTGGAAGTATATTTATGTAAGTGTAGTTAAAGGATGAGAGGACTCATGGTTAAAGAGTAACTAACTATGAGAGGACTCAGTTAAAGGACTCATGGTGTCCTGTCTTTCCCATACATTAATCTTTGTCACCATTTGACATTTCAATGCTACCGATAGTTTTAGCATACTAGACTCTTTATTTAATTATTCCATCTGTCGGTACCATGTTGGCAAAAGAGTAGATGTGCATAATTTATGACACATTTGTTTTCTTAGCTTGAATTGATGGCCTTTTTTTTCTTATCAGTGTTGCAGATTTAAAAAATTGTCATTCAATTTTGTACAGTCCTATTACAATTTTGTATTTGATCAAGTCATCTCTTTTTTTTTTTTTTTCTCTTCTGTCTACTAGTTTAGGCACATCCAACTCCTCCAAGTCTTTCCTCATAACTCTTTGTGTGTTAAGATCCAGAATCCATTAGTAGCATGTCCTTGTAACTTTTCTAGTTTATTGATGTGCTCTTTGAGAGATGGGCCCCATAACACTGTTGCATATTCTAGTTGTTAAGGAAATGATGATTAGAAAGAACTTCACCGAGACAATATTTGTGCGACGGACGAAGAAGTGTAAGACAATGATAAATGCTTTGACTTTCACTGTCGTCTTACCTTTGGTGTAATCCACCTTACTGTATACCAAAAAACTTGATATTTGTACATATTTTACTGTATTTGCAAGTACTGTAGTAGAGTTTTTACAAAATCCACTGAAAAAAAGAATCGGTCACATCGTTGATTCTATTCTATTTGTGAGCTACTTTTATACATAGTATTTGTAATTACTTCTCTCAGATAAGTATGAATTTGAAGAGGCCGTTGTGATTATCAACCCACAACACCCAGTTGTGGATGATGTGTTCCCAGCCCGGTATGCCGTTTGCTTCTCTGTAACAGTAGAGAAAACAGCCTCTCATACTGGTCCATGGTGAGTTGTTATTTTGGATATTATTGTATTATTAGCATAATATTTACTAGGGCTTGATATTGTAAACTGATGCCCTTGAAACTATTGTTGTAGTTCACTCTTTTGCACTGCAGCTTCTGGAATTATATTCTTCAGAATAATAAGAATTAGGAAAAATGCAGAAGACCTGTTAGCCCGTGCAAGACAGCTATATATATTAACCCAGACTTATTCATATTCAGTATATACCGGTATGACTAACCTTGGCTTCAAACAATCTTCATGTCAGCAGACGAGGAGTCGCAATAACGCGGCTGAAGTATGTTGACCAGACCGACCACACGCTAGAAGATGAAGGGACGACGATGTTTCGGTCCATCCTGGACCATTCTCAAGTCGATTGTGACACAATCGACTTGAGAATGGTCCAAGACGGACCGAAACGTCGTCGTCCCTTCACCTTCTAGTGTGTGGTCTGGTTAACAATCTTCATGTCTGCTATGTTACCAATAATTTGTTCCATTGATCAATAGCCCTATTTTCAAACCTGTATTTACCAAAAAAAATTCTGAAAATAAATAAATAAATAAATAAATAAATAAATATATATATATATATATATATATATATAAAATATGATATATGTTTAATGTTTAATCAAATTTTAAAAATTCACTCACTTTTAATTCTAGAATTCTTACGAATTCTAGAAACTTATATATACATATATATATATATATATATATATATATATATATATATATATATATATATATATATATATATATATATATATATATATATATATATATATATATATATATATATATATATATATATATATATATATATATATATATATATATATATATATAATATAATTTTTTTTTTTTTTATATGGAAGGGAGTACCACCTCTAGCTGGAAGAAGGGGGACCCCTAGCCTCGGAGGAAACCACGCATAACGCATTAGAGGGAATGTTTAGATCCCCTCCAATACAGTTTCTGTGTGCTTTTCTCCTACCACCCCTTCCTTTTTTATTTTTTGTGCTTTATTATGCATTTGATGGTTACAAGATATACATGGGTTGATACAAAAATAATAATGCAAAAAGGTGCTTAAAGGTTATGGATCTCTTGAAAAACACAACAATGGGAAACATTGATGAATGTCACAGACGGGTTCGATCATTGTTGCAAGTCAAACACTTCTTCGAATTCCTCTGAAGTTGGACTAGTGCCCAAGACGCAACAGGCATTTCCCCTCTGAATCGCAACACTGAGGCGCTGGAACAAGAAACTTTTTGCTCTCTGGTCTTTTGTAGCGCTGATCAATTTGTCCCCCAATTCCTTCAGGAACTTCAATGCACATTTTCCCCACGAACCGAGGGTCTCCGAGCCGATCGGAACAAAGCTGTAGCAGTGTGCTAGACCTCTGTAGCAGTGTAACTGTAGCTGTAGCAGTGTAGTGTAGCTGTAGCAGTGTGCTATATATATATATATATATATATATATATATATATATATATATATATATATATATATATATATATATATATATATATATATA